TTTGTAGAAACTTGTAATTATTTCACTAGCTAAATTCTTAGAATACCTGGGTTAGAGGATAGTACTTTCAAAGGTTCTAATAGTTTATATTCTCACCAAATTTATACCTGTTCTGAGTATTATCTTGTTTAAATTAAAAACTAAGAGTCAGGTACCAGCAGAATGACTCCAGTAGCTGTAAACATGCACATATCAGAGCATAAGGGATCTACGTTTCTGAATAGACAACTGAAATTTCTGTCATGGAATTTCTGGAACAGTTTCACATTTACAGGCAGTTTTTCAAAAACAACGGTTTCCTTCTTTTCTGATGTGTGTGTGTGTTTCCAATGATCATTTACAATGTTCACAATCAGGAAAACAAATTCTTAGGTACATAGGTAAACATACGACTTTCAACTCCAGAGTTCTACAGATAAAGGCATGCTGAATTAGTATACCTATTTATACACACCATTCCGAATAAAATACAATAGTACACAATCAGAATATTTGCTTTTCTGTGTTTACTGGGATCCAATGAGACTCTACTTTGTGTGTGTGTGTTTGTTTAGTTTACCAAAAAGATTTCTAACAGAAAGAAAACAACACACCAGCATGGTGATAAGAGGCACTGTCTTAATGCTGTTCAAGTTTCTTTGCTCAAAATGGAGAAATTATCTTTTTCTATTAAAAATGTGTTAGAGACCCCACAACCTCCCTTTGACCCTGCACCGTCCCCTATCTCCACCGCCTGTCTCCTCCTCTACCCATCCAGACTTTGGAAGGAGTCCGCACCTGCCAGAGCCTTCACTTCTTCACCTCCCACTCAGTTCACAGTTGCAGCATCGCTCCATCCCAACCATTCCACTAAAACACGGTTTGCAACGGTGATCAGGGATCTTCTTTTGCGAAATTCAGTGGTTACTTTTGACCTTATTTTAGTGGGTCTTTCTGGCGAATGTCATGCTGTAAACTATTGCCCTTTCGCCAAATTCTCAACACTTGATTTTGGCGACACCACTTTCCTGATGCTCCTTAAACCTTTCTAACCCTTTGCTGTCGGCCACCTTCATAAGCAGCTCCTCCACATCCCAATCCATAAGGCTCAATGTTCTCCCGCTTCCTCACCACCTCTCCTGTCTTTCTGCTCTACACGTCCTGCCTGGCAGATCTCACACACCTTCGCAGTTGGAACAGCTACCTGGAGCTAAGTCTCCCACACCTATACCCCCACCTAAAGCCTTAGCCTCGCAAATCTGCCTCTTCAGCATATTCACTGGGATCGATCAGCACAGACACTGCCAGTTAGGGCACCCCAAGCCTCCCCTCCCCACATGCCTCATCCCCACTATTGTCCGGTGCTGGCACTCCTTAAGGATCCAAACTAGAAACCTGATTTCTCACATGTCCTTCACTGAATTACATGCTGTGAAATGTCAAGCCAACCATGGTTCAATCCAAACGTACAATCATATTCCAGCCAACACTAGTCTGATGAGATAAAACCATGGAAAATCAACTCGAATCTTCTCAGGGTTCTCCCAAAGAACAGCAAGTGACAAGAATCTGTACACACCCAAGCATGTTGAAATGTGCTTTTCCAGCTGTCTTTATGGACTCATGTAAAAGATGATGCCTGATTCCTGACAGCTGCTGTCCACTGTCCACTGTAACCTCTCTTCTTCACTCTTGCTAAAGTCCCCCAGTTTTCCTGACACCATTTCTGCGTGGAGACTCATCTTCCCCTTCTCTCTCTGACTTTTCAATACTGTGCCGACTAACCTCATCGCTCACTGTCTTGGCCTTGTTTCTGTTTTGCCTTTACCTACATTCTACACACACAAAAGCCCTAGGTCTGACCCAGGAAGCAAAGCTAGAGGTGAAAGATAACTTAATGTAATTCATAATTTTACATCTCCCCTTCTTGTTTATTCTTTTCACAGAATCAAATATCCTACATATCCTAACAATAGCATAAATCTCTAAATCCTAGTATCTCTTAAACCCATCCTTTCCTCTCTAAACAAAGATCCTATGCCCAAGTTGAGTCTCTCATTATCTCTCATCTGGGCCACTCCAGCAGCTCCTACGGTTTCTCTCTGCCTCCAGTATTGTTCTCTTCAAATTCATCCTCCATTAGCTTCCCAGTGCTCTGAGTAATTCAACAATCTTAATTTTGTACCCCACCACTCCAACACCCCTTCGCCCCAATATTTTCTCATTTTCTGCAGCTGTTATAGCAAAGAGTTTTCCCCTGCAGGCCAACTCAGATCACTTGGTGGTAACTTTCCAAGTCTTGTGTTGAGCAGGTTATGAAGCCATGTCAGATGTTGACAAATGAACAACATCTGTCATTGGTAAGGGAAGAAAGAATGGCAGCCCTTATTCTGTCTCTTCGCTTTTCCTGATCCACAGAATAAAAACCAAACTCTTCCATCTTTATCTTCTGCTAGACTCGTCTCTCCCTTTCCACTGAGCAGCTTTAAGTCCCCTCCTGCCTCATGCTTTGCCAGAATCAGTGCTTTTGCTAAAGAGTTATCCCTACGTGAAGTGCCCCCACCTGCCTCCACATACCCCCTTCTTCTGGCTAGCTTTATCTCATCATTTCAGATTCGGGCCAGAACGCACATCCCTTAGAAAATCCTTACTGACCCCCAGCCCCAGCCAAGCTTAGGTAAGATACTTTTTCTCTGTGTTTCTTCTGAACTCCAAGCTTCCCTCTATCATATCATTTTATGCATCTGTCCCCACCTCAACTAGGCTGTCAACTCCTTGAAAATAGAAACTGTTTCTTATTCAACTTTGAATTAATTTCCATGGCTATCTTATGCAATGGCCGACACAGAATAAGTCTTTGAAAAAGATTAGCTAATAATGGATTAAAGACGATTGCAAATTGTCATGCTCCCTCCAGGGCCCCCAAAGCTGGGGTCTATTTCTCCACCTCCTTGAATCTGGACAGACCTGCAACTGATATGACCAGCAGAATAAGGCAGAATTGACTCTTGCTAATTCTGAGCCTAACCTTTAAGAGTATTGGCAACTTCTAATTTTTCCCTCTTGGAACCCAGTTGCCAAGCTGCAAGGAAGTCCGAGCAGCCATGGGAGGCCCACGTGGAAGATAACCACCACCTGTGGATGACAACCTTAGCTGGCTACAGCGAACATTCAGTACCAACTTGCCAGCCATGTGAATGAGCTTCCTTGAAAGTGGGTCCTCCACCCCCCAGTAGCAGTAAGTCACCCAAATTACATCAAATGATGAGCTTGCCTACCAAGTTCTGATCAAATTACAAAATCATAAACAAATGAGTGTTACTGCTTTAAGCCACAACATTTTAGGATGGTTTGTTATTCAGCATTAGATAAAACAGTGTGGTTCTGTTAACTAACATCAGAGTCTTTGACTGTGATTTTCCCTCTTTTGTTAATTGTATTGCTTTCTTTCACTTAACTTCTTCATACTTCAATTTTCCCTTGTTCAATTTTTGATAATATGCCTGGGTGATCAGTTAGGATGACTTATGAATATTATAAAATATGATGGAAAAATGCACATGTGTGTATGGTTTCCCATTTCTGTCCCACAGAAATGTCCCAATTTCTGAAAAATAAACATTTTTCATTAGGAAGATATACTTTTTCAAAGACTTGTCCAAAAACATACCAGGTTGTCTGCTGGCAAAAGCAGGAATTTATTAGAGAGAAATATAAAGGCATCTAAGAGCTCACATGCCTCTGACCGATGGATCCCGTTCTGGTCAGGTACGTTGGCGGTGTTGTCTAGCTCAGTGAATACACTACTTTATAAAAGGTGACCTGCCTAATGCATCCAGCCACGTCAACTAGGAGCGCTAACCAGCTTATTTCTGTCTTTCTGAAGCACCCCGGCATATGGAGCTCTAAGAGCCGATAAGATACTCCATCCTGAAAGACCCTAGCAGGATAAAAACTTCCTTCTATTCAGAATTGCTTTTAAAATTATGACTTGAGAAACAAAAAAAAAGAGGAAGAAGAAACCCTGGGCATAGTTAGTAAATTTAACATAACATCAGGTCTGAATGTCAGTAATTCATTTTCATTATTTTCATATACTTAGCGTATCATTGGACTTTCACATGCCGGCTACTTTACAGAACAGGAAGCCTTGAACTAAGCATCCTTTCACGCTAGAGCCAAGATAAGTTGGGATGTGTGTAGGTGGACTCTTCACTTTCAGGAGGAAGGAGATTCTTCAGAATCAGCTCTGTTCACATGTTCATCTTTCCTAGTCTTCCTTTTATAACCTATTAACATGAAAAAACACTCCCCATCCCTATTATTGTTTCCCCTTTCTAGGGCAGATAAAGAATTTCTCTCTTAAGTAAGGATCTTGACTCTAAGTTATGCATCTGCAATGTCATTCAATCAGTAGTTCAATAATTTTTTTGAACACTTACTGTGCTCCAAATTGATGCCTCAACGTCCTTCCCTTTAACGTCTGTATAAAACCCTATACCACGGCACAAAAACACACAGCACAGTGTCCAAGACAACACAGGCATTCATTCATTTAGCTACTGAGCCACTACTATGCACCAGGCGGGGGGAGAGGCACTGACTAGATGTTAGTTTCCTTGTCTTTCCTAATTTGCTTGTTGGTTAGCGCGATGAGTTTCATATAAAACTTTCATATCACATTGTGATAAATGACCTCATTATAATTTAGCCAAAGAAAGAATCACTGTAGTTGAAAATTTCAGAAAAGTTGTGTCTCCTCAAGATCTTATAAGCCATCTCCAGCTCTTCTTTAACTTGGGATTTCCCTTCAGACATGGTTCCTGTTTGAAGCGCTCCTGCCTTCCCTTTATTGCCTTCTCCTCTGACCTCCCACTGAAGATAGCCACTCACCATTAAGTGCAGTCGACTACACATCATCTGTAATATTTACCTCTACAAAAAAAGTTACATCAGAAATTAACATCTATCTTGTAAGAGATTCTGGAAATGAATGTCTAGGCCATCACTTGTGAACATACCTGACGTGACTCGGTTCAGTTTTCTTTTGCAGTTATGGGCACCATGACATTTTGGAGAAGAGAACACAGAGTGGTAAAAGAGCGCAGGCTCTTGGGGTCACGTCTGGCTTTGAGTCCCTGCTCTTCCATTTGCTGCCTGCGTGAACATAAACAAGATTACTTAATTTTTTCAGCTGGAAGCCATGCTACATTTTGAGACTATAGTGAGAACTAGGGACAATCTATAAAAATTATCTGGCAAAAACTAGGCACTTCATTCATGGAAGCTATTACTATTATTCTAGTCATGCCCAGTAATTTACATAATCTCTTGTATCTATTTATGGTTTCTTCTGACATTTCCACTTTTGCCCTCTTTATTTCAGCTCTGAATGTACTGGTGAATATAAACCTAGTGTCTTCGAAATGCAAATGGGAAAATTACCCAATTCAGATTGCATTACACAAAAGAGCATGATGGAATTGAAGCTGTGAAATATTAAACAGATTAAGTACCGTGGGCAGTTAGTGAGGTCATAAGCCTAAAATAATTTGGCAGAGCTAAACCAGACTAGCACAAACAGACTTCTGAACTGGCACACAGCACAAAAGGTAGTTCTCTTTATGCCCAAATATAGATGTTGACTCATGCGGTCTGGGGGAAACATCTGAGGAAAAAAAGTGATATCATCCAAGGAGGCAGGATGACATCATTCTGCAAATGGTTCTCGTCTGTCTGGTTTTTGGCATTAGACCTTTTTGGCTCTTATTTCTCAAGATTTCCATCAGTTGCCCTTAAATACTACCCTCCTTGAGGGAGGCAGCATCAGCTCCTGCCTATCTTTAAATTTCCTGTACGTTATAAACATTTTTCCATGTCTGACAAAATATCTGGTTTCCACTCTGCTCATTCTGTTGAAACTGGACTTAAGAGAGCCACTAAAAATAGTGAAGTTGCCCAATCTAATAGGTTTTTTTCCATTTCCTTCCCACAAAAACTGTGCACAGTGGTTGGCACTGCTGATCAAGTCTTCCTCCTTCCCTCACTCTTTGCTTCTTCATGCTTGTATCATGATTGTCTTCGTTCTGAAGATCACTCCTTATGAACCTTCCTCACTTGCTTCTCTTCTACAACTCACCCTTGGACGTTCTACGGAGCTATCATTCCAACCTCTTCTCTGGCTACAAGCTCCTTTGGCAAGCTCAACTCCCAGCTTCCCCATTCTCCACCACCACTTCCGCAATGACCTTCTTAAAACCAAAGTTGTTCAGGTCACTGTCCCAACTAGGAACCTTCCCTTTGCATCACTGCTTTCGGGATAAAGCACGTTCTAAGAAGACTGTCAAGCCTTTCATAATCTGGCCTTAGCAAACCGTTTGAGCTTCATCTCCCACCACTGAGCTTCTCAGCTCACACTGTTTATCTCTCTACCGCTATCTCTAAAAATCTTGCAGATCCTCCCAGATCCAACTCAAATGCCACATTTGCTAAGTCTTCCTTAACACCCTCCTTGTACTCTAATGGAATTAGTGGCTTCCTTACAGTTCTCATGACATTTTGTACATACCACATTTTATTACTGTCTGTTCTACACTTATTTGTTCCTTTAAATGGTAATTTGAGAGCAGTGAAAATTACCTCTTTTTCTAATTATTATTCATACCACCCAGCATGGTACCTTGCAGATAATTACATCCTCAGTAAATATTTCTTAAATTTAACTGAACTTATTTTTCAAGATCATTTTTCTAATCAGGTCTATTTGCTTTGCTACTTATATGAGAGAAAGAGAAAAATGCAATCTCTGCCATGAACTAAATGTATTTTAGACCATATTTAGGCTTTTGTGCAAAGTTCTTTTCCACACTGTCTATATAATTAAACTGTATGCAAAAGAAAGGCATTTCATGCTTTTTTATGCACAATGAACTTCCAGGTCAGTTAGATTCCAATGCATAAACATCAGAAAGAAAGAACCAGAATGCCTCAGCTACTCTGCAAACAAAGGACCTATTCTATTAAGTTGAGTAAACTCTTCTAGGACACTAGAGTATCATTTAGTAAACTTCTCCTAGGAGATTAAATAGGCCTGCATATATGTTGTAGTATATGCACATAAGGTCTAATTTTGTTCAGCAAAATAAATGGTTACTTAAAACAAAGACTGGATCAACTCAAATATATCATGTAACCAGCACAGACAGAAATAAAGCTCATTATAGTGTTCTATTCAGTCAAGATCTACTTCATAAATAATCTCTGTAGAGGAGTATCTAGTGGAGTTGTTTAGCTCAGGATTTCAAAAAAACCAACAGAAAAATATATTGTAAGTAATTAAATTTCCACTGATTAATAAGGGTACATAAAACTTACAACATATATGTATTTTCTTCAAAAATCATGGGTAACATATTGAGCAATGGCACGTATATGTCAAGCACTGGCTCTATATCTTACATGGATTATCTCATTTGCCCACAATTACCCTATTAATCTCCATTTTACAGACGAGGAAACTGAAGTTCAAAAGATCAAGTAACTTCCTTATGTCAGAGCTACTGAGCAATGAGCTAGGAGCCAAAGACTGAGTCTGATGCCAGTGAATTTAGAGGATATAGAGACATTTTTGTTCTCAGTTACTAGCACCTGTTTATGAAGGGAATGGTGACAACCCATAAGCAGTGTGGATAAGGAAATGTGGCCGGTCAGGTCTTAATCTTTATGCACCTTCTTCTGGCCCAGTCTTAAGGACTGAGTCTCTATCAGTCATACGGACTTGAAGACTTTATTTTTTTCTGAAGTGGAATTGGGAGTGGGAAAGGGGAAGATGCCAAGGGAGTTAAATTACACGAATGCACAGTTTCCTGCCCAATCCGCAGGCTGTAACTATGTGTGGATAGGTGGAGGCTGTGCTCAAAATCCCTGAGGCCCTTCACAGCGGGTCTGACCGCGTCCCAGCAGGGACACCTCTTCCTTTGCCTGGATGGCTCGGCCACCTTCGCAGGGGACCTCTAGCCTGGCCCTCAGACGACTCTACTACAGGCTTGACGAGCACAGCCACACAATCACTTCACTTACACAGACATTTCTTCTTTTTCCAGTATCTCCTGGAAAGATGCTCCCATATCATTTTTTTAGGTGGAAGAGCCAAAATTTTAATTTCTTATCAATCTATTCCATTCTCAAACAGTGCTGTGCCCTTCTACTTTCAGGCTACCTGAAAATATTTTTTTTCAATTGCCTATTCTTATACTCCTGGCATAATCAGTCTGTCCTTAGGTGGCTTCCTACATCTCGAAGAATAAGTGTTGCTGTCTCTCATACAGATCACTTTGAGGCTAATATTTAATTTAATACTAAGTTTTAATATTAATAATTTAATGATAATTAAATGCAATAACTAATACATTTTATTAGCTGAAACTGCATTTTTAAAAATGGATTAGATGGATTATTAACAATGATGGTATGGCAAGACACAAGGCATTTGACAACACACTAGATTGATGAGCATGTACGAAAACAGATATCCTCATATATTGCGTGTGGAAGTAGCAATTGAGGAAACTTTTCATAGCAATTTGGCAATATCTATTGAAATTACAAATGCATTTACAGATGATTCATAGGAGATTATGGTAACATGGTTTTGTAAGAGCACAGATGATAGTCTAACTATCCATCAAGGTATATACAATGCAAACCTAAAAATGTGGAGAAAGCTCTGTTGGTGATATGGAATGATATCTAAACTATGTGTGGCATGCTGGTAAACGCTCAACCACTAGCTACTCAAGAGTAGTCTATGAATGCTGGTAACAAGTAAGATAAAAATGAAATAAAGAAGATGTATTCTGGTTCATCAGTGATGTGAGTAACTAAAAAATTGGATAATAACTTCAAATACTGGAAGAATATTTCCTCAATTTTTTGTTATATTCACAATGACAAGCTTTAAAGTTTAATTTGTATTATTAATATTTTATCATCATTTTCTTGAGTCCAGACAATCAATGAAACAAAAAATTAAGTCCAAATTTGTATCACTGGCTGATTTCTGAGGTGGAAATATACCCACAATGGCCAATTTCAAGCTCCCAATGTGACAGCACTGATACAGAGTTGGAAGAGATGCACATACCTACATAAACACCATTATATAGTATTTCCACCATATAAATATAATAGATGCAAATAATCTCATGACACATATATAATAATGAAACGTAGTAAAATAATTAGGAAGTGATAATACTTTAGTATTTATTACTTTTCTTATTACTTAATTGTAAACTTATTTATTTTTTAATAGTGGCTACATTTAAAACCAGCTCACAAAATTCCTGAAAATTAAGCAATTGGCTCTCATTTTTTGATATGAGCCAGCACCATAGCAAATATATGTATACATGTAAACAATCAGAGAGCATGCCACCAGGAAACAGAAAACACACTTAGATGCAAATCTGAAGAAAATTCAATGAAGGAATTATTTGAAAGGTGTAAGTTTAAGGAAACAGAGATGCTGACAAATCTGTGAATATACTAAAAGCTACTGAATTGTGTACTTTAAGTGGGTGAACTGTATTCTATGTGAATTATCTCTCACTAAAGCTGTTTTTAAAAAAAGAGAGAGACACTGTGGCTCCCAAAGACCAGCAGTGGCGAGCAGCCGTTACCATCCCTGCCTCCCGGGGCATGAGGGGGAAGCAGTTTTGCCAAAGCCCCGTGAGAGAAAAAGACCCAGGGGAGGGGCTTGCAGCAGGAGCTGTAGTTATGGAGGGATTCAGCCGCTACCCAATTATAGCTCGAAACCAGGGGAAGTTGCAGGGGTGAGCGGAATAACCCACCCTTTCTCTTCTCCTGCCTTCAACTTCCTGTTGATGCCTCATACTGACCACACTCTACGGTAAGTCGGGGGACCAGGAAACCTGGCTGATGCATTCGTAGGGGGTCGGCTCCCCAGGGCACAGAGCAGATCCCCAAGGGGTGGATAATGGATCTGAAGGCAGAGAAGAGACACACGCACACACACAGAGTGATGTAATGCTTTATAAGAAATACGTATTTGGTCATTCAGATGACCAAAGTATGTTTCTTAGATATATTTGGTCTTCATTTACAATTCCTGCAAATGCTTCAGAGCCATTAAGGTGAAATGGGTATCTTGCTATTAATAAAGTTGATTTTTGGACCCTACCCACCAGTGGGGGGGCTGCTTGCCAGGGGGAACAACCAGGTGATTAGAGGACTGGAACTTCCAGTCTCACCGCGCCCTCCCCACCCTCCCGCCCCAACCTCTGGGGAGGGCCAAGAGGCAAGAGGGTGAATCTGCCGAGGGCCAGTGATTCAGTCATTCCTAACTATGTACTGAAGCCTATATGAAACCCCAAGAGGATAGTTATCTAGTCCTTTTCTTTTCTTTTTTTCAGAATGCTCCCATGTCCCACCAGCAGGGCCCCAAACTCCCCAAGGATAGAAGCTCCTTTGTCCAGGACCTTGCCCCCGTGTACCTCTTCATCTGGCTGTTGATGTGTATCCTTCTTATAACCTTTAATAACCTGGGAAACATAAGTAAGTGTTTCCCTGACTTCTGTGGGCTGCTCTAGCAGATTAATCAAACCTAAGGAGGAGGTCGTTGAATCTCCAGTCTACAGCTGGTAGGTCAGAAGCACAGCCTGGTGCTCGTGACTGGTGTCTGGAGTTGGGGTGGGGGACAGTCAAGTAGTACTGAGCCCTTAACCTGTGGAATCTGGTATTATCTCTGGGTAGACAGTGCCTGGAATTACTTGGGATGTTGTGTGTGGGAACCCCCAACCCCCTGTTGGAACTGGGACCAGGAATCCTAAAAGACACACACACATTGTTGAATGATTCCCAAGATCAAGATAATTAACACATCGATCACTTCACGTCACATAATTAACTCTTTTTTTATGGTGAGAATGCTTATGACCTACTCTCAGCAAGGAGAGATCTTTCTCGATGTACAACGGGTTTACCTTCCGACAAACCCATCATAAACTGAAAATGCCTTTAATACATCTACCTTACTGAACATCACAGCTTGGCCTAGCCTACCTTAAATGTACTAAGAACATTTAGTTAGCCTATAGCTGGGCAAAATCATCTAATACAAAGCCTGTTTTATAATAAAGTGTTGAACAGCTTATGTAATTTATTGAATACTATAATAAAAGTGAAAACAGAATGGTTCTGTGGTACAAAATGCTTACAAGTGCATCAGTTGTTTATCCTCATGACCATGCAGCTGACTGGGGGCTGCAGCTCTCTGCCACAGCGCAGCATCATGAGAGAGTATCACGCTGCCTATCACCAGCCCAGGAAAAGATCAAAGTTCAAAATTCAAAGTACAGTTTCTACTGAATGTGTATTGTTTTCACACCATCGTAAAGTGGAACCATGATAAGCTGGGGACCATCTGTGTACAACCATACAATTAACCTATCGTCATGCTGTACATGAGATCCTCAGAACATACTCTTGTAACTGAAAGTTTGTACTCTTTGACTAACATCTCCCCATCCCTCTCCCACTCCCAGCCCCTGGCAACCCCATTCTATTTTCTGTTTATATGAAAATGGCTTTTTTTCAGAGCCCCCAAATAAGTGATACCATACCTGCTACTTCCTAAATAGCTTTAAGAATTTAAATCATAGCACAACTTCAGAATAACAAAACAGAGACACAAAATGAATATTCAAATGTGGATGTCAAATCAGTAGTGGTAGTACTTATAAGATAGAATACCATGCACATGCAGTCATTTTTTTAAAACTACAAAGAGGCTCATGAGAAGAAAGTTTGTCTGGGGAGATCTTGCATGAGTTTTTCTTCTAAGTGCCTCCATGTATTTTCTGGTTTTCTATAATAACATACAAATTCTATATTTAAAAATGCAACTCTGAGTTCACATACTAGATCCTCAAATAAGAGCTTGCATGCAGTTACTTTGATTTGTTAAGTGATCCCAGGAAATAGGAGTGGGGATGCGGAAAAGTCAAATTGGGATGGAAGGAAAGCCAGGTCAAAGGTGTGGGTGGGTTATAAAGTTGATCAGCATTGTGGGAAACTGAGGTGTTCTTTCTAGAAATCTCTTTACAGAGCCAGGTAGAATGAACCTCACAATTGTCTGCCTGAGGTAACAGGAGTCCAAAGTATATACACATGTCTGCCGTTCTCATTTGGTTGAAGGTGTTAAGTCTCTCCTATTTCCAGGTTTGCAAATTTGCCAGAAGGACTTCGAAGGCTGCTGCAGGCATCCCACTAGCCACAGCAGAGAAGCCTCAGGGCAGCCAGAGCTTTACAGACCAGCTGAAGCAGGTGCTGGAATGCAACTGGAGTGAAAAAAGCAAGGATGTGGACTGGGTGAACAGGTGTCCCTTACACAGCTTTGTATAAAGCTTAGAGACTGAAATACCTGGTTCTTCAAGTCACGACTCTTCTTAATTAGAATGTGGTGAGACCTAAGTTTTATTTTATTTTTATTTTAGGATAAGAACTACTATAGAAGAAGAGGCTGAGTGGAAGCCCCTAAAACTACCCATCTCCACTTCCAGCCAAGATAGTACATAAAAACTATATCCCATCTCAGAGGGGCAAGGCAGAGATCAGAGCCACCTTCAAATATGTAAAGGATGCAGGGATGGTGGCTCCCACTTAATGACATTCTGACATCTACAAAACCCATATGATAGATGACTGTGTACTACTTGAACTTAACCAAGGAGTATCCCAGTGGCAGCTGCTAGGCTGGACATGGTATCTTTACTAGAGCAGATTAACAGCCTTGAGTATGTAGTATGTGGTATTGGTCAGGTGAATATATTCTTTTCCCTATCAATCAAAGAGAGGATCAGAGTAGTTTTAATTCTCATGGAATGACAATGGCATATTCACAGGATTACCCCAAGACTATGTTAGTTCTCCCATTTTCGGTCACAGGAACCTGTATTATCTGTATATCTTACAAAAATTACATAGGCTATTTTGAGGACACATATTAGTGAGCAAGATGTAGCATGCACTCTAGAAGCCTTGTTAGATATGTATCATCTAGAGGCTGAGAAATTAACCCTGCAAAGATCCAGAGACCTGCCAGATTAGCGCAGGACATGCAGGGATAGGCCCCAGTAAAGGATGGTTATTGCACCATTTCCTCCCTACCTGTTCAAAGCACACCACTTGGTAGGCCTCTCCAGGTTTTGCTTGCAGAATATTCTACACTGAGGTACACTGCTTCAATCCATTTATAAGATGACATGGAAGGTTCTAGCTTTGGGCTGAAAGAGAGGGCGCTGCAACAGGTCCAGTTTTCAGGAAAAGCAGACATGCTTCTTGAGACATACAACCCAGCAGATGTCGATGTCATGGTAGCAGGGGTACTGGGGGAAGAAAAGATGCCAGGTGATTTCTTTGGCAAGTCCCAATAGGAGGACTGCCGTGCAGACCTCTGGTTTTCAAAGCAATGCTGTGTTGTTTGCTGCAGAGAACTATGTATCACTGAAAACACAATTCGTGGCAGGCCACTGGGCCATGATAAAGTCTGAGCGCCTCACCATGGGACATTAGGTGACCCTGTGGCCATAACTGCTCATCATGAACTGGATGCTCTCAAATCCCAAAGTGACAAGGGTAGGCGGGCCCAGGAGCAATCTACTGTAAGAGAGAAACAGTGCCCTGGGGTCTGTGTTTGAGCAGAGGCAGAAAGCAGAAATAAGCTGCATGAAAGATGACCCGGGACGCCCCTGGCGCCCTGACTGGCATTTCCTCCTCAGTTCACACATATGGCCTCATGGTGGTTTTCCTGTGACCAGCTAACAGAGGAAGAAAAACTCAAGCTTTCACAGATGGATTAGCTTGGGGAAGTTTGGAGGGTTGATAAGGGATTGCTGTCCATAGCATTCAGCGGTGACCTTGAGAGAGTGGTGAAGACAAATCCTCTCAAAGGGCAGACTACTTTTTTAATCATTAAATTGTCTTTGTATATACTTACATATTGATTGTTGAACATAATTTAAATGTATTACCTCTACCCACAGGATTTACGCAGGGCATAAAAAAAAATATTGGTCTTGGTGATGGGCGGTATCTAGTAAACATAATGTTCCTCATGTAATTGTAGATTAATGATAACAAAAAAAAAAAGAACATTTAAACTTGAAAAAAAAATTGGTATTCCCTGGAGTTAAATTGATCAATAATAATAATTAAGGATTTAGCTATTACTACAGGCTCCCAGCCAATCCAAAAGTAGAGTGTTGCCATGAAATCTTTCGTAAACCAAAATAATGTAAAGCTAAGAAGCAATTGCTATTAATTTATATTGAACATTTTTTAACACTCTCAGGCCAAAAAAAGAACCTCTCTTAGTTCTTTCTGGTATTTTAGGACACACCTTGCTAATGGATGCACAAAATAAATCGAGATGCAGCACAGATGCTCACACAGGTCAAAGCTCTGGAGGCTTGCTGCTGGGCTGCTTCTGTTAACTGCTCGCTGCAGCACAAACGCTCAACACTATTTTTGCTTTTCACCCTTTTTTTATAAAAGCAAAAGTCCTCTTCAGGTGTCTTGGGGTTAGTGAAAACAGACACTGATTCAGGTCTTTCATAAAAGCAAAGTAGTGTAAGGCAAATTTTCAAAAAGCAGGGGATACCTGTGTGAATGCTGCTAGAAGAGGGAATAGAAAGGGAAAACTTCCAAGACCATACGGAGAATATACACAGGAAGTCACAGGCTTTGGGGAATTCTATTAGTATGGTCTCAACAATGGGAGATTTGGTACACCTCAGCAGAAGAACAAGGCAAACTGAAATAGCTGAAGGACAACAGGTTTCAGACCCAGACAAATGTGCCTCTGAGTCAAGGCTTTGCCACTTGCTAAGTGTATGACTTTGGAAAAGTTATTTAATCTCTCTGAACCTGTTTCCTTCTTTATGAAACAAAGTTGATGATACTTTAACTAGATTGTAACTAGGTTCCTGCCAAGTACAGTTGTGCAGCCCACAAACTGCACGAAACTCCTAGTGTCCCAAGGAGGTAAGCAGCAGCTGACATCCCGCCTGGGCTCAGATCACTGAGTAGCACCTACCACGCAAAGGTAACCTATTTCTATTTTGCACATGGCACCCATAAAGTACCTTGGGCCTGCGTATTTTCAGAATTTAAATGAGATCAC